TCAAATACATAGGAACTAGAATGTTTTTATTGTATGTGTAATATTAAAGTCTCTTATTGATATATTGCCTCTGACCTTTAATATGGCTCTGTTGCTTGGATAGAAGCCATATTTCACAAAGCCTCAGCTACTTTCAGTTTTTTATATTGATTTCTGTAGCCCGACCACCACTTTCATCTAACACAGTTTCGCTCGTCTCCGGTCTCCCCACAGCCTCCTGTAGAGAAGATCACTGATGCCGTGCTCCGTCCACCTCCACGGGCCAGCTCCTGGTGGCCCGTCACGCCTTATTTTGCCCAGCTCCCCTCCTCTCCTTTTTCTCACCTCAGCTTTTCTTTTCCTGTTTATCGATTTTCCATGCTACCTTCCTTCCTAATCTCCACACACACACACACACACACACACACACACACACACACACACACACACACACACACACACACACACACACACACACACACACACACACACACACATCATTTACTCACAGCAGCTCTTTCGTCTTTGGATTTCAGTTCTCTAGCCAGTGTAGACCCACTATGCCTTTTCCCTCCCTTTGATGTAATACACGCTGAAATAAATCCCGTTACCAAGACTGACTGGAATCTGGTCACTTCAGGACATTGCCAAGTCTTGGCTTACCTCCAATGAGGTCTACCTGAGGTTGTGTTAGTTCTCTATACTGTTTCTTCTCTACGACCTCACCTTACCTTCACTTTGACTCTAGATAACCTTTCCTCCAGTTTGACCCCCCTTGCCTTACATTGACTCACATTACCAAACCTTGCCTTACATTGACTCACATTACCAAACCTTGCCTTTACCTTGATTTTATAATACCTTGCCTCGCCGTTACTTTGACTCAATTTGGCCTACCTTGCCTTACCTTACTTTTCCTCAACTTCCACTCACATTACCTTACCTCCTCTTAACTTCCACTCACATTACCTAACTTTGCCTTTACTTTGACTGTCTTTACTTTGACTCACCTCACCTTAACTCACCTTGCCTTTACTTGACTCACATTACCTTGCCTTTAATTACAGTACCTTACCTTGCCCTATATCTGTACAGGTTAACAGATTTGTATGAAAAGTTTGCATAAAGCTGAAGGTTATTATGGGTCATAATAAAGAGACGGGCAAGTTTAGAATCATCCTTCACAATACCAAACTCCAGCAGCAGCTGAAAAATATTGGATTTCAAGGAGGCCAGTGCAGGACGAACACTGGTCATATATTAAAGGACTGCAGGGCAAAGAAAGCAGCACCCTGTGAAAGCAATCTTCACTTGAAATATGAGCATTGGCTGTTGCAGGGTAATGCTGTCTTCCCTTTCATAGAATAAAACTGTATTGATCCGTCAAGTATCCACCGCTGTACCAAATAGAGTGAAATATTCCGATTGAAACGCATTGCAGTGTTCACTCCATAAAGTTTGGGAATAATAATGTACTTTTAAATGTATTAAATCCAGAAATACTTTACCAGTAGACTCCCAGTATGATCTGAAGTTCCTCTGGTCACTGGCTAGTGTTCCCGTGTGTTCGGAGATGCAGGATTTGAAGTTCGTTAGGGGATCTGGTCAGTAAACCTTACACTGTTTGAGTGTACAGCAACCCTTTGAGGCCCAGCATTGCTTTGAGCTGAATGCTAATGTCAGAATGCTAACATGCTCGCAGTTACAATAGTTGGTGCTGGAGGTGAGGTTGTTGGGGGAGAAAGCAGGAGAAGCAGCCAATATCAGCGTGCAGCAGGAAGGAGAAGGCAGAGCAGGTGGTCATGGGGAAGAGGAGTTAGCAGCTTGATTTGTGAGACATGATTGAGGCTTTGGATCAGGTGATGAGTCGCTGATGTACCATGACTCTGCAGGTTCTGTCTAAGGATACTAGCTCAGGGTGGAAATGAGGAATTTTCCAACTAAAATTCACATTAAAAGATGAATAAAAGGACAGATTGTCAGCTTTTGACAATATGTCACCATTGGCAGCCAATTAAACAGACCAACTTAATCTCACTTTTATTCCCTGTATTTCCTCATCATCCCACACAGCAACATAAGTGCATTGCAACACTATTATGTGTTTGCTTTGCAAGTCAACTTTTGGCATGTTGCTATGTTGCCAACCCATAACACCCCTTTCTGACATGTGCCAGATCTAATGAGAAATAATGATGTGTTTGTTGTGCATCTCTATGAGGGAGGACATGTTTTGATGCACTAGCTGCTCATTTCAACCCAGGTGTCTGCCGCACATTTGGACTACTTGTGTATCCCAGGTGTGTTTTAGTCAGTGTTAACTTTCTAGGTGGAAAAGGCTGCACATATTTAACCTTGGAGAAGGAAGGTGAGGGTGGATGAGTCATTGTGAAGTGGAGCGATTAAGTGCAGTTGTGTAGGTGAGGTGTGCTCAGTTTAAGTGGATGACAAGCTGGTTAAAAGAGAAAAAAGTTGTCCTCATAACAGCTGGTCCTCAGATCAGGGATCCTGCTCTGTTTTTGTTTTAAGGATGTTCTTGAAACTTTACTTTTAGCTCCTCTCTTTGACATTAGGTCTCCTTCTCCTCGGCTTGTATGTATAGACTTGTTTTGGCTGTAGCAGATTGGCCCAGCCCTCCCTGGCTGTGTCTGGGCTGTTGGTGTCGGTGCGGGTCAGTAGCCTCAGGCTGTTTGTGGACCGCGCTGGGAGACGGAGAGAGGGAGGTGTGGGGGTGGGAGTCAGGAGCAGCAGAAAGTGGGCTCAGGCTCTCTTCTCTAAGCTCTTCACTGCACTTCTCCACCGTACAAATCCCCCTCGATTATAACTCCCACACACTCCTCTCTGTCCTCCTTTTCCCTTTTGTTCTTTGTCCTCACTCCAATCACTCTCTTTCATTGCCTTTAGCTCCCTTTATGTCCTTGTCTTTTTATTTATCCACCGCAGCTTTGCACTGCTTTTTGCTACAGTTTCTACAATGCATTCCTCATCCCTCTTTTTTCCCTCCATCCTTGACTTATTTCCATCCGATCTGACTCCCCCAGCATTGGTTCAGTGTCACAGAAAGCCCATTCTGCTCTGTCCCACAAAATATCTCCCGGTCAGACAGTTGTCCCTGCGGATGGTTATTAAGACACACTTCAGTCAGTCTCAGATATTGCGTGGCAACAGGCCACTATTAGAAACGCCAAACCCACCACCCCTTGTGTTTCCAGCCCAACAGACACACCATCTGTGGCAGCTTGCTCTGTTACCATGGCTGAGATGAAGAAGCAGTAACAAAGTGCCTTTTTAGGGTGTGTGTCAACATGCATTAGAACAACATAGTTGAGACATCATTTGCGCTGCTTCTTGGCGCTGAGCATCTGGCAGATTGCAGGCAAACAAGAGTTATTATGAAAGGAAATATTTGGGATTTAATTGTTTGTTTTTGGAAAAGCTCTTTTTGATGGCATATAAAGTGATATAAAATGCAATAAAGCACAGATGTGGTTCAAAAGACGCCCTATAACACACACCCCCCATGTTTTTGGCGAAACACAGACTCATCCAAAGTACAGAATTACTAATCAATTACATTAACCCTTATATTTACATATATACATTATTGAATTTGTTAAAAATCAAGAAACACATCTAATAAAATACAATAATTATTATAAATGATAATAATAAAGTTGTAGGAAAAAGAGAAACATAAATAGTATAGTATAGTATATAGTATAGTAATAATAATATTTAAGTTAAACATTTTCATCTATAATATAGAATTTCTGGGCAAAGCCACATGTTTGATAGGCTTTTTCTCCAATGTCAAAAATATAAAAATCATTCTCATATCAGCATAACATTTAAATGATCTTTTAATATTATTATTTCACAGTGTTGCTGTCATCATTACATTCAAAACATTTATATATATTTGTTTAAAAAAGTATACAATGCTTGCATATTTAGGCACACAGGTTTTTTTTAATTATTATTTAAGGCTATTTTTTCTGTGGATTCTCCTAGTCGATGTGTCCATATGCATGAAGAATACACCAATGCACTCACTCACACAAACTTAGACAGATGCTTGTTAGTGTATAAACTGCTTCTGCTTAAATACCGACCCCAAACCAGAGTCAGAAGGTGATAGATAGTTAGCTTGTTTGTTTCAATGATGGATTACTGTATGAATCCACCCCTGGACCCCTTGTTAGAGTTAGAAAGTCAATAAAATAACTCGGAGGCACAAAATGAACACAAACGTGTGTGTGCAGCAGCCCCACTGTGTCATAATCCGTCTATTATAAAATGGCAGCAATCATTAGAAATGATTTCATGTTTGAATATTTATATTAAATAATATTTTCAGTTTCTGGCATCAAAGTGAATCAACAATGGTAACTAGTTATCATGAGCAGTTTGTTCTTAGAGAAAAGTAGGGCTTAAATGTTTAAACATAAAAATGTGCCTCAGTCTGGCTCAACAGCTTCAAACCCCTCCCCTGATTCTAGGGCACATTGAGTCCAAATAACACTAACCAGGCATCAAGTTAAATTAAATTAAATCTTCGGTCTCATATGAATGTTTTTCACCTAATTGCCCATGTGAAGCACAGACACACAGGAGGCACATTCATCGGGTTGCTTTTAACCCGATTGTCCCGCTGTGCAGAAAATATCTGTTTATATATAGACACTACATTTGGAGGCTCAAACGCATTAGTTTGATGAAATGAGACACAAATTAGTTACAGCGTGTATTACCAAGTGAACCAAGCTTAGTTGTTTCGGCAGTGCTTATTATTTAGTCTGTTTGCTTGAATGCTATTTAGAGATTTGGACATGATGCATGCATATAGATGTGTAGGCACTGGGATAAAGTGGATTCATCACTTAACCCCACACTATCAAATGTTCTCTTTTCAGTTTGCTGTGAGAAAGGAGAGCTTGTTCAGCCTAAAGAACAGAAAGTGGTTAATGTTACAGTATGAACTAACAAATGGTGTCCACACCCCCTCCCGTTCCATCCCAAAGGATTCCGATGGCCCCCCCAGACCAGATCCCGCTCACCCTCCCGTGTTCTCCGCCCTTCGCCAGTCCAGAGGCGTCTCATCCACCTCCGAGGAGGAAGAGGCCCTCACAGAGAAGTTCCTCAAGATCAACTGCAAGTACATCACTGGTGCAATGGTGAGATCCAACTTAAAGGGGCCCTATGATGCTCATTTTCAGGTTTAATATCAGTATGTAGTGTCTCTACTGTGACATGTCTCCATGCTGTAATGTTCAAAAAGCTCTTTATTTTTCTCATGCTGCCTGTGCTGCAGCACCTCTTTTCACCCTCTGTCTGAAACCAGAGCCCAGTCTGCTCTGATTGGTTAGCTGGCTGGCTCAGCTGTGATTGGTCAACCACTTAGAAATGTAGAAATGTCCTGCCCCCTAGCCTATCGCGTACAATGTGTTGAAGCGCTAGCCAATAGAAGCGCAAGTGTGACATAGTGATGTCACTATGTTATGGAAGAATACGGAGACCACTTCAGGCGTTTCAAGTGTGGGGGGAGGGGGAGGGAACACAGGGATTTTAGCATTTGCAGACTATTTTAAATGCACGAAAACCTATAGAACATTACAGGAGAGGAAAAAAACCCAAAAAGCAAAATAGGGCCCCTTTTTAAAATATCCAAACAGTTATGAGTATGGCCCCTTGGTAAAGTTCCTTCTATTGGCTGATGGTCATGTGACAGACAGCTGCTGTAGACGAAAGCAAAAATGTTGGCTGAAAGTGATGGAGTAAAAAAGGGAACAAGTGGTTGTATTGGTATCAAACTACTTCTATAATCATACAGAACAGCGTAAAAAAGAGTAAAAAAGGGAACAAGTGGTTGTATTGGTATCAAACTACTTCTATAATCATACAGAACAGCTGCCAGCTGCAGGGACTTGACACACTTCACATTTCAAAAGGCTTTTGTATAGATATAGGAATTAAAATGAAAAGAAAAGAAATGCCCCCATAAATAAAACTTTGTTTGTGTTTCTGTGTTGTAAACCATCAATACCTTAGAAGAGCAAGTGCTTCTATTGAGATTCAGTCATTGACACTCACAATAATACATGAGTACTCAACTATAGCAGATGAGAATCCAGAACACTGTGCTGCCTGAGGTTAACCTTTTTTTAGAGGATTTTGTAACATGAAAACATAATAATCTTGTTGTGTTTGTTGCTAATTATGTGTTTTCTCCCTGCAATATATGAAATCACTACCTGAGGCAGACACAAACAAGGCAGCGGAAGAGAACATCAATACAACAAAATGTGTTAAAATCACATGTCTCATAAAAATGATGCGTTTTTGATTTTGTTATATAGGAAATCTGGAAGGAGGTTAAAATTAGAGCCCAGCAAACACTGATGAGCCAAAATGAATGACCCTGTAGAGCGGCACATGAAGAGAAGCATCTCTCCCGCTGACGGCGGTTTAATTCTGCTGTGTATACTTAATGTTGTTCTGATGGCCTATAACCAGGGAGTCTGCAGCTCCTTAAAGTAATTTTAACCAAGTTATCTAAATGCAGCATCTCAAATGCTCCTCAGTACAGTTAAATGTTTTTCCCAGATCTGTTTGTTACTTCTGCTTTTTTGTCAATCTGGTTTTGAATGTGATTTGGTGTTTTTTTTGGGGAGTTTATCTTTGTCTAATGCAAGCGTCAGAGGGTCTTGAATGCTGTACAGGCTGTGAAGCCACTTTAAATGTAGGGTAGGTAATTCACTTCAGAAACGCTTGTTATATTCCATGGAATGCTCTTAACATCCCGATAGCAATGAATATATTAAATGCTTTGACAATAAATATATTAAAAATGTCATCTGTGGAAGCCGTGGCGCTGTAAAAAGCACGACCAATCATCTGAGCCGACCCGGCTAAAGTAACTGGATGGCCTACCTGCCTGTCAGCCTTCCATCTGTGCACAAACTTATCTCGTGCCCTCATTGGTCATGTGTGCGTTCGTGTGTGTTGGAGGAGGGGCTCTGTAAGGAAGGGGCAGATTTTTTTCCAGTTGCGTACTTTCAAATTCTAGCACACTCGAGCTAGTTTTTCCATTCTTACCTACCCTACCTTTAATATAAAATTAAATATTTTGGACATTATGAATAAAGTTTAATTTTGCGATTGCAGATTTAGCATGTGTACGTGCATGAGTGTGCAGACACACACACAGATCCATGGTATTGAACTGCTGATTCACTCCTAGGTACCAAACGAAAGCTCTGAAGCGTCCACTGCTGGCAGTCGATACCTTCTACTTGATTTAGGACATTTGCGGTCTCAAATTGATTTGCCTCTCAGTGATTTATGTGACAGAGGTGCTTTTGATCATCTTTTGGTGCTACATAAACATTCTAAGCTGTTATAATGGATCCCATTTGTTCTCACCCATCCCTCTCTTTTTTCCCTGTGTTGACTCAGGGTGCGGTGAGCGGGGTGTTGCTGGTGACACCCAACAACATCATGTTCGACCCCCACCGGATGGATCCCCTGGTTCAGGCCCACGGGTGCGAGGAGTACGGCATCATGTGTCCTCTGGAGGAAGTGCAGTCTGTCGCCGTCTGCAAGGAGATCACCGACCCCAAGATCAGAGAGGCTGTGCCTGAGTATGAAAACGTTGTTGTTCAATATGTACAGAAATGTGCAGTGGCCGACCTGTGCAAACACGTTACAAAGCTCAAAACCTTTTCCATTAGGAGAAATACGCTGCATTTTTAAAAACAATGCAAAAAGAAACTTAACTAAACATGCGCAGCATTTATAAAAAAGTGATGCATAAACAAAACGCTGCAAAAGGCTCACAAAATACAGCGGAAACGAGGACCCTTAAAAGTGATGCACACATCCGGGACCGGAGCGCATGCTGACGTTAGGATAAAGATGATAAAGTTGGACCTAACGCTAACTGTTACTGTCTCTTCAAACTTACCTAAAATGAGCGTTTACTTTGATTATTTTAACAATGTGATTGTATGATACCCTCCAGTATCATTGTAGATCTGCTTTAAGCTAGATAGCTCACATAGCTAACTTAGTCATTTAAAATATACTGACAAAACGCTGTTATTAAACAGTTGGCCATCCTTATAATCCCTGAATGTTGACAAGCTCTCCGGTCCCAGCTGCGTGAATCACTTTTTAGTGTCCCTATTTCTGTTGATTTTGAGCTTCTTGCAAAGTTTAGTTTATGCAGCGCTTTTAGTAAACCCTGCGCGTCCTTCATTAGGTTGGTGAATGTATTCTAAATTCTGCGCATGTGTTGTCAAGTTGGTGAACATAGGCGCATTCACACCGCAGTACTTTTCCCACAAAGGTTCATCAGAACTTAGTTCATGAGAACTCTTTAGTTCTCATGAACTAAGTACAGATCGCGTTCACACCGGAATAAGTCCCTGGGGGAGGATTAGGCAGAAGCCGCTGACGTCACTTCGTCTNACTAAGTACAGATCGCGTTCACACCGGAACAAGTCCCTGGGGGAGGATTAGGCAAATGAAGCCGCTGACTTCACTTCTTCTTCTTCTGCCCTTGGGTTTACTGGCAGGCCGCAAACAACTTCACGGCGTATACTGCCACCCGAAGTCCCCGGAGTTGGGGACTGGCTTCAGTGCTTGGACTCTCAGCAGCTTCTACTAGTAAATCGAGTAAATCACCAGAACGCCGACACCTCCTCATCTCCACCGCTCCCATGTTTTCTTTTGTGTTGCCATAAGTTAGTCTCTCTGCGTTTGTGCACTGGGCTAATGCTAATAATGCTAATGCAAGGATAATAAAATGGCGGCTTCAGTTTTACGGGGCGTGGTTTGCATTCCGCCCAGCCAATCAGACATAGGAACCTTTTTCTCTCAAGAAAGTCCCTGCTCTCTAGCAGGGACGAAAAAGGGGTAAAAAGGTTCTGATGAACTCATTTTAGTTCCGGCTCTTTTTGGTGTGAACGCGACATTTCGGAACTAAAGTGGGAAAAGTACTGCGGTGTGAACGCGCTACATGTCTCTTCGTGTGCATGTGTTTTGGGACATTTGTGTTTTTATATTTTCATTGTTTTTGAAAATGCATCGTGTTTACCCTAATGTAAGTGTTTTGGGCCGTTTGGACTGGTCAGCCTCAGCAGAAAAGTTGTTTTCGAAGTAATATAAACACTGACTCTTACATGCATTCTTTAAGAATGCTGTATACTTTCCCAACAAATTAATTCTGAAAGTCTTTCTCCCACTCACACAGAAATGCAGCAACCTTGTGATAATCGCTGTCATTGTCTAGTGCTCACACTGTCAGATTGCATCAGGCAATTTTCTTTTTAATTTTCCCCCCACATACCGAAATAAAAAGGAAACGGCAATTACAGCAGGGTTAATGAAGTATGCCTTCACCCTCCTACGTTGTGATTGCTCACCTCTTTATGCACTAGGAAGCAGCCACTTCAGAGGATTCACTGTTGTTTCCTCCCACACATTTGTCTGAGGTTTTCTTTTCTTGGTTTAAATTGTTTCGTTGTTGTTGTTGTTGTTGTTGTTGTAGTATATGAAAGGACAAATCTAGTCTGGTATAAGTGGAACCGTATGAAGTTATTGTTTTCGGTTTGTTCTGGTGGTATTAGGGTCTGAGCAGCTCGGTATTTATCTGGAAGAGTGTTGTATGTGGAGCAGATATTGTCCTGGACAATGAGCAGGCCCAGTTATCCCTGCTGTGTCATGTGATAGAAAATAATCCGTATTCAGCAACAAATGCGAATAATAACAATATAAGTGTTAAGATTGAAGGACGTTGCTGCTGCACGTGTGTGAGTGTTGAACAAACTACTTAGGTCTAACTAAGCTGAACAGGGAGTGTAAAAGTAAGGACAGCAGTGTTTGCAGGCCTTATGATGACTTCATTCTGACTCCATGCTGACTCTTTAAGTCTGACATCAGTTGGACTACATTCTGACTATACTAGACGTCACTGCACACATAGGTCAAGTTGGCACTAGTCGGAAGAGATGAAACCGAAGGCGAAGGCACTAAAGACTTTACAGGACAGGCAGAATCAAATACACTATTATTGCATGACAGAATTTTGATATATGATTTAGTTCGTCCTTCTGCTTTTTTACCTTATAACATGCCTTAATTCAAATTTAGAATCTTTTGAGTGTCTTTGAATATAGTTTTCCACTCGCATATCCTTTCACCTCTTACTCTCTCTCGCTGTCTAAGCACATAGTTGGGTCACAAGTGAATGTGATTCTGTGTGCTTGTCTTTGAACCCTCATTAAGCCTCAGTTATGATTTCTGCACGGACATTAACTGATGCAGGATGGTAACAAGGAAACGTCTGATCTTTTATACTCAATGTGGGTTTCTCCCAGTTGAAAGGCATTCTCAAAGCTTTACATTTCTGAATTATTTTTCAACAGTCTGCATTGTCAGAAAATGCAAAGTATGCATGTACAAGCACAACCTGCTACGTGTAACCCCAGTGAAGGGCCTTTTGATGGGGTGACATCACTTTGCCATAGTTGCAATAAGCATTAGAGATTTCCTAGAAATATATATTTTTTTTATTTAGCATGAAACACTTATTTGTTCATGTGTTGACTTGAAAAAAAACTTGTGCATACAATTAAATAAACCTAAATATTTGTTTGATTATCTTTTTAGCCTTTAGCGGCTTTGTTTTAGCTTAACACTAACCCAGTAACAGTGTTGAGTATAAAATTGTCAAACTATTGCTTTCTAGGGTATTGCTGTGTTTAAATGCACGTATCTAGAAGCCCTCGTTATAAAATGTTGAAACAAAAACATAATGTTATCCTTATCTTTAGAAAGTTGGTGCGACAGTCTTTATGCATATAGGGACATGAGTTCTGCGAATGCTTTTAAAGCCTTATCTAGTGCTGGAGTCCTGCCCAGTGTGTTGGGCTGTGCGTGCTCTGGTCAGAGTCTGAGCTGCAGGAACGGCATGACTGATTTTCCATAATTACTTTGAAAAGAGCTCATCTAACCAGTTCAGCTGGGCTTCTGCTGTCTTTTGTCACCATTCCGGTTCTGCACAAGTGGTTTGCTGAACCTTGACGCAAACGTTTTCACAGTGAAAGACTACGTATATGCCCCAAACCTTTAGATGTGCGCATAAATCGCAATCAAAACCAGTAAAGCATGATTCTGTTCTAAGAAAATCAGGGCAGCTCTCTGTATTTCAAAACGTTGTTAATGCATGTTTAGGCTTAAACCAATTCTGGTCATAACTAAATTAGTCACGCATTGTTTTAAATGTTGTCTCGTGTAATATATGTTTTCCTGAAGTATCTGTAAACTGTGCAGTTATTATTATTTTTAATGTATTTTATATAGTTGGACCATTTTTGAAATAACAATAGGCAGAATTGGAGCAGATGTTTTTCCAGCATATTGTGCATCAGCAACTGTTATAATTAGACTGAAATGATTTGACTTTAATTGTATTGTTCTGCAAAAACAAACCACGTCAATTTTTATTATAAAGCTTTTAGCAAAGAAGGGCATGCATTTTTTTAATGTTCTCACTTTTAATAATGCATTTGTGAAAAATGTATGTGGCTACAAGACAGTTCAAATCAAAGCAGCAGACCGAGACCCTGACTTTTTATCCTCAGTTTGAGGGTGTTTCGCAATCTCGAGTAAAGCTGCTCCAGAGCCACTATTTCAAGCATTCAAGGCATCGAGTGCCGCCAAAGAACGGTTCCAATGTCCAGCATACTTGGAATTCTACCGAGCCCGGCGTACTTCGTTTGGAGAAATTTCGAGGCTGCACATGTGTAACTCCGCGGTCTGAAAATCCCCACAATGCTTTGCGCACAGACCCATTTCCCCAAATCTTTGGCGGAAAATGTAAGGTGGGGCCTCTCATTTGACGCACACCTGCACACTTGCTCGCTTGTTCCACTCTTCGTTTTCCAAATGCCAGGAAGTATTCTTGGCTTGCTTCTGAAGCAAGACGCTCGGAAGACATGTGCTACCAAGCAAGCGTACTCGACATTGAGAAACACCCAGGGTCAAGCTTCTCAAATGCTAGATTATACATTTCCCATAATGCAACCTAATAGCATCTCTCATTAGACCCTCTGATAAATTCCCAATTATTTTACACTCCAAGGTCCCAAATTGTAACAAAGGCTTTTCTGTAGAAGATTTAACCCTTGTGCCTCACTATGGAGATCTTTTTATTTATTTCATATTTACTTTGGGCTGTTTCAATGCATACGGCATATATTTGGGCAAGGTTTTGAGTTGTTTTTTTTATCTTTAAAGTTCAACATTAGCTCATACAGTATAATAGTCTGTAATTAACTGTCTTGGCGAAATACAGACACTTGGACCATTAGGAATACAAATGTCATCTCTGAAACCCATTAAAGCCAACATTTTTAATCCAACATCCATTACAGCATTAAAATATACATTCTTCTATATCAGGCTTTCTATATAGAGCCTTGTTCTCATGTTTGCTCTATGGGTCAAATACATGAAGTGATAATGGAAGAAAATATCAATAGATATCATTTTAGACTATGTTAGGGGGGGAATGTGAACATCAGGGTTATTTTCTCACATTACTTATAGTACAGTCTTTTTTTATATTTCTTTATTT